AAATATATCAGAACAAATACTGCCAAGAGAAATGTCTCAGATTTTACTGCCTATGCTTTCTTGTAGGATTTTTATGATTTTGAGCCTAACATTTGTCTTCAATCCATTTTGAGTTTATTCTGGTGTATGGGGTAAGTTGGTGGTCTAGTTTCACTTTTTGCATGTATCTATCCAATTTTCCCAACACCATTTATTGAAGAGACTTTTACCTCATTGTTTTTGCTTTGTCAAATATTAAGTGACCATAAAAGGGTGTGTTTATTTCTGGGCTCTCTATTCTGTTCCACTGATCTACATGCCTCTTCTTGTGCCAGTACCACGCTGTTTTGATTACTATGGCATTGCAATATAATCTTTTTAGATGTTTTTTATTGGCTTTTAGAGAGAGAGGGAAAAGAATAGAGAGATAGAAACATCGATGAGAGAGAAACATCATCCATCAGCTGCCTCCTACAAGCCCCCTACGGGGGATCGAGCTTGCAACCCAAGAATGTCCCCTGACTGGGAATTGAACCGGTGACCTCTTGGTTCCTCGGTCAATGCTCAACCACTGAGCAAAACCAGCCAGGCTGTAGTATAATTTATTATCAGGTAGTATGATACCTCCAACTTTGCTCAAGATTACAGCAACTATTGGGGTCTTTTGTCATTCCATATAAATATTTAGAATATCTGTTCCAGATCACAGATATGCCTTTGGTATTTTAACAGGAAATGCACTGAATCTGCAGATTGCTTGGGGTAATATAGACATTTTATTGATGTTAATTTTTCCTATCCAAGAAAATGTTTTATGCTTCCACTTATTTGTATCTTCCTCAACTTCTTTCTTCAATGTCCTATAGTTTTCTGAGTACAGGTCTCTTACCTCCTTGGTTAAATTTATTCTTAGGTACCTTATTTTGTTGTTGTTGCAACAGTATATGGGATTGTTTTCTTTCTCTTTTTGATAGTTCATTATTGTATAAAAATGCTGACTTCTGAATATTAATTTTGTCTTCTGCTACTTTGCAGAATTTATTTCCATGGCATTTTTGAATCATAAAACAAACTTGTAATATCTAATAACAATGTAGGTAGGTCAATGAAGTATTTAGAAGTTATTGTATGCCTGGCACCATAGCAATATTTCTGTTTTGTAAAAAGAAAAGTTAACTCAAATCCTCCCATAACCACATCAAAATTACCATTAAATTACAGAACCACCATCATTCAGAACCGCCTGAAAGTGGCTGAATGAAAGTCCTACAACTAGGGATTTAAAGAAGCCACATCAAGATTGGTAGGAGGGGTGGAGACTCACAAAGGGGCTGGTCCCACACCATGTGGCAGGTGAATAAAAATCAGGAGGGATATCTAGGTTGCAGAGGTGTCCTCTGAGGAATGAGAGGTCTCTGCCCCACACCAGACCCCCCATCCCAGGGTTCTAGTGCAGGGAAGAGAAGTCCTCATAACTTCTGGCTGTAAAAACCAGGGGGATTGAGGCTGAGTGACACAGAGGGCTGCTGAAGACCCAGGCAGTTCCTCTTAAAGAGCCTTCACTCAGACTTACTCAGATTCACTTCCTCTGAGCTCCAGTGCTGGGGCAGCACCTTGAAAGGCACTAGAGACATA